GAAGTGCGAATGCTCAAAGAGTTGTTTGTTATTACGTTTTGTTTTATTTATTTATATACTTTGTTTTTAGTTTTCACAAATTAAAAGAACCATATTTTTTTTTCATTTATCCATGTGAAATTGTTAGTAACAAAATGTCACTAAGTCAGCCTTTCTGTTAGTCCGGTTAGCCTATTAGATCATTAAAGAATTTGACAAAATTGGCTATTTTGTAAACTTTTTCGAAATTGGTTATTATTGACAAAAATACAAAAATTATGGTTATACAAGTGTATTTTGCCAAAATATAGAAACTATATATAAATGAATACTAAAAAGTAGACAAAGTGTAAAAACCAATTGTACAGAGCATACAAAGTGTACTAACAATATTATAAAATAGCCTAAAAATATGTTATATATTAACATAGTATACACATCATATTATAAAAGTATAAGTCAATTATATAAGTATACAAAACAAGAAACAAGAATATAAATGTATATAAATTAATAATACAAAGTATACATATCATATTATAAAAAGTATAAAACTTATATATCAATATATTCAAACCACATCATAAAATGATAAAAACGATGCGGAAGAATGAAACAAGATGCCGATTTACATGGTATCCCCGTTCGTAAGAACGGGACTAATCCACGGCAAGTTCACTCAAGGAGCTTGCGATACTTTTATTAGGTTTTCAACCAAGAACTACACCACACACATGACAGCCACTCGGCAGCTAACAACACATATATGGTGGCTTCTACGGTACCCCGTGTGAAATCTAGGGTACCGCATACTTTGAGTATGAAAATACTATCTAAACCTCGAAATAGCAGAATTTTTGGGCTTGGTACTATAACCTTATCCTTAATGAGTGAACCCTAGGTCCTAATTATCTAAATCATAAACTATAAACCCTAAGACGGGGCATTCATTTTCCCCCCTATATTTGGATGAATCATAGCCGTCGATTATTGTTTATAGTTAAATTGATCTTGGGGTATAAGATTTAGGAAACTTAGACCTAGATTTTGATCTTTAAGGGTTAGAATATAGTATCATGTCCGAAAGATCAATCAATTCAAGTTCTAGATAGCGTTTTCTTACTCAAGGTACCGCATACCTTGAGTAAGAAAACGCTATCCAGAACTTGAATTGATTGATCTTTCGGACATGATACTATACTCTAACCCTTAAAGATCAAAATCTATGTCTTAATTCTCTAAATCTTATACCCCAAGATCAATTTAATTAGAATTAATAATCGATGGTTATGATTCGTCCAAATATAGGCAAAAAATCAATGCACCATCTTAGGGTATATAGTTTATGATATAGATAATTAGGACCTAGGGTTCACTCATTAAGGGTAAGGGTATAGTATCATGCCCAAAAATCCTGCTAATTCGAGGTCTAGATAGTGTTTTCATAGTCAAGGCATGCGGTACCCCGGATTTCACTCTTTAACATTAGCCTTGAACTAAATCTGTGTTGCCATGTCAGCACCCTTTAAAACGAAAACATTCATGTTTTTAGGGGAATTCTATGGTGCAGTCACTGCACTAGTGCCGTCACTTTTTTATAACCGGTTGAGTTGGTGATTTATTGGTTGGCTCCGGTTGAGTTGGTGATTTATTGGTTGACTCCGGTTGAGTAATTTAATTAATAAAACATTAAAAAACAAAAAAAAAACAGAAAGCAAAAGGCAGGACAGTCGTTCCCTTCCATGTCTTTCCATTGTAAATCAAGGAAACTCTTCCGTCGCGGCACTCCACCACCACGTTGTTTTCGTCGGTCGACCTCACCAGCAAAATCCCAACTTCGTCTGGCAAAATCAGCTGCATCATCAGCCCCGTAGCCGCCTTCTGCTCATCGACAGCATCGTTTCTGCCGCGTGAATCCACAATCACCATCGCCATTGCGGCCGATCGACCATAACCACCCACATCCTGAATCCCCAACAATCAATGTCAACACCGTCGTCAACCCAGTTGCCGCCGCCAGGTCATCTCATCGCCTTCTCTGTTGTGCCAATAAACCACCGTTGTCGCTGGTCGGCCATCACCACCCAAATCCCGACACCCTCGAAATCGCCATAGTCGTCAAGGCTCATCCCCTCTCGTTTTAACCACCGCCGATTCAATTTCCCCATCCATGGCTACACAATTCCTGAACCACCTTCCGTCCGTCATCAAAATCGTCTGGCTGCCCTGTCATTCCCAACAACGTCCCTATCGTGGCAATCGATCCGTTGCCGCTGTTCAGCCTTCAGCACGACGATCGGCGACTCACTCGAAATACCCATTGTGGTCAGTGGCGATCAAGGGATACGTTCCCTAGAATCCCCTTTCAGCTTCTATGAGATAAGTCTTCGGTATCCTTGTGATTTGGGTATTTGTTGGACCGTTTTCCATGGCAAATATACACTACCGTTTTGTTCCGATCAGTCATAAACATTTAATAATTACATAAATGATTTAAATATACAAAAGGTTCAACCAGAGGTTCAACCTAGTCTGGTTAAATGATGATTATTCATCAACGGTCATCATTTAATGCCTTTAATCCAATGGCTGGAAGAGTGGTGGCAGTGGTGCCGTCACTGCACCACAGAAAGCGCCCTGTTTTTACCATTCAAAGTTTCAAACACTCTGAAAAATAGCGCAACGGTTCGTGGGGAAAAAATTGGTAATTGCTTCTTCCCGTTTCTCCTCCTTTCTTTTTACAATTCTACCCAATAAAAAATAAAACACGTATGTTTCTCCTCCTTCCTTTGACAAATGCACCTACTAAAAAGGAAAAAGTAAATAACTAAATATCAATTACATGTAAATTAGTATTTTATCCCCATTTTTTATCAATGATTTGCCTCTACGTAATAGGATTTGCACTACATTTTAGGGGTCGTTTGGAGAATATGAGTTTAAATCTATAGATTGTCAACAATTTAAAGATTCTAACTCTTCGCATTATTGAAAACAAATTTTAAAATGTTTATTGTTTGGTAACTGTGATTGTTAATATTCAATTAAAATAAAAAATTTATTTTATAGTAAATAACATGTTTATCCTTAATAAAAAAAAATTAGAGTGGGTTGAGAAATATTAAAAACTTTTTTGATAAACATATTTCATGTGATAAATAAATAAAAGTAAGAGAAAAACTAGGAGAAAAAAAATCTTACGAATCAAGATATAGAATCTCTCTTATTATGAGAGATTTGATATCCACAGATTTTAGAGATTTGAAATCTCTAAAGCTAGAATCCGCAATATAAAAAGCAACAAAAAACATAACTTTCTACAAAATCTATGGATTCAGTGAATCCATGTCCTGAATCCTGTTCTCCAAACGACCCCTAGTGTAGTATTGTAGTATTCTAAGAGAAACTGGCGGTTTTAAACTCAAGTTTAAGTTGAATGTTCTCCGTCATTTTATTTAAGCACACAAAAAATATTATAATATTAATGAGAATCTATACATGCTAGAATACATATTAATTTGTCAAATCTTAATTTTTTTTTTCAAATTGTGCGACATTTTATACAACAGAACTTCATGGTTTATACCATATAAACTTATGAACCTGATGAATATTTCGATTACTGTATTATGTAAAATTTTCATCAACAATTTTTTACATAAGATTCTAAGTACATACCTTATAAACCAGAATCAAGGAGAAAACAATTCAAAACCTTCCACGAGAAAATGAGTTAGATAGATAGATGAAATATCATGAGTTGATATAATAAACTTTGGAAATTTCAAACATCTATGTTTTATAAAGTTTGCCAAGGATACAATAAAAAGTTGAACACCTTAACTTAGCTACATATTTCCAAATTAAATACTACAAAACAATAATACATATTGCAGTTTTGCTTAGAAAATTAATCTATGTTAGGTTTACTACCTGCCCAAAGGGTGTCATATATGTGTGTGTGTCACGGCTAACCATAGGGTTATTAGCCTAATAGACTCCCTCCTGGAAAATTACAACAGGGTACCCATACTTTATCAACTTACTAAACAATGTGGGTACTACAACTCGTCCTCAAACACGTCCGACAACACTCCCCCTCAAACAATGGATGAAGATGGTGAAGTCCGAGTTTGTTACCGAGGACGTTGAACTGCTCAGCTCCCAAATCCTTCGTAAATATGTCAACAACTTGGCTAATTGTTTGAATCTTCTGTGGCGCAATTTCTCCTGATGCAACGCGCTCACGAATAAAGTAACAATCTATCTCCATGTGTTTCGTCCGTTCATGGAACACTGGATTAGCTGCAATATGGAGTGCTGCCTGATTATCACAGTGCGACGATGTAGACAACTGTTGTGGCACCCCTAGCTCCTGGAGTAACCATCGCAAACAAACAACTTCACTTACTGTGAGTCTGTGACTGCCATCGCCTTGTACTATGCTTCAATAGCTGATCGTGCTACAACATGTTGTTTTTCGTGCGCCAGGAGATGGGGCTATCACCTAGGCGGACGAAATACCCTGTAGTAGACTCTCTCCTTGACAATTACAACGGGGTACCCACACTTTATCAACTTACTAAACAATGTGGGTACTACAACTCGTACTCAAACACGTCCGACAACATAACAGTATACAAATCGAACTAAAATTATACACAACACAATACATACTAAGAGTCCAAATAAGCACTACTTACAATGCAACCCGACTACGCTGACGTCAAAACTCTCTCTCAGGTTCTTACCCTCCCTCCCACAAATGTGGTCTGCCCCCGAAAAAATTTTAATACATGGTAAAATTATCGTTTGGGTGGTGGAATTGGATGAGACCATTTGACTCTATTGTATCACAATGAAACAATTAAGTCAAATGTTCTCGTTTGGCAACATAAGATAGGAATTGACAATTTGAATTGCTTTTGTTTTTGCAGAATAAATAAAAATAAGAAAAAATATTTTGAAATGATGAAAACAAATATGAGATGTGATAATTTGGAGGCAATTGAATTTTATTGCCTCATTTCTAAAATCCATCATTTATAGGATGTGTTTTACAACACGAGTGTAGTATAAGTACTTCAATGGTTATTTAACAAGCAACCAATAAACGAAAAAAAAAACCCGTCCCGTTCAATTTTGGTCCTCCGTTGTCCTGAGCAGTGTGCACCACCGTCCGCCATTTCCTTCCCCTTTCGCTCCGCCATGACCCACGGAGCCGATCCAGCTCCAACCCACAAAAAAATCCTACTTACTTCGCTTGCCGCCATGGTCGCCGAGGCGGGCACGTTCCCAATCGATTTAACGAAGACACGGCTCCAGCTCCACGGCCAGTCTCTCTCCGCTCCCTCCTCCACCAATGCCTTCCGTATCGCCTCCGATATCCTTCGCCGACAGGGAATTCCAGGGCTCTACCAGGGCCTCTTCCCTGCCATTATCAGACACTCCTTCTACACTCCCATTCGAATTGTGAGTTACGAAAATATGAGGAATCTCATGGTCGATGATGAGAATGGCATCTCCACCATGTCCCTTCCTATTAAAGCTCTCATCGGTGGAGCTTCTGGTGCTTTTGCTCAGGTATGCAGCTCTGTCTCCTCCACTTCATTAGCGTTCATAGAATTCCCCTTTCGGCGTTGGGTTGCCCCTAATAGGACGCCACAATTAGATCGCACAAATTGCATCCACGCTTTAGCCTTTTTAACAATGGATTAACTCTGTTTTTATGAATGATTGTGATATAACCAGCTGAATCTCTTACATCACCCACGGTGACCAGTAATTATAATGTTGGTAGACATTTCGCTATTCTACCTCTATTACACCTCGAAAACTTGAGCTTTGATCTCCGTTACGCTTCCAGAATGCATTAGTTTTATGTGTCTTAGTTGTGCTTAGTACTGTAGATAGTGGCAAGCCCTGCTGATCTAGTGAAGGTCAGGATGCAAGCAGACGGCCGAATGGCGAGCCAGGGTTTGAAACCAATATACTCTGGCTTCATCGACGCCTTGAGCAAGATAGTAGCATCGGAGGGCTATAGTGGTCTCTGGAAGGGCGTAATCCCAAACATTCAAAGGGCTTTTCTAGTAAACATGGGGGAGTTAGCCTGCTACGACCACGCAAAGCGTTTGGTTATCCGGAATGGGATCGCAGATGACAACATCTACGCCCACACAATGGCGTCAACAATGTCAGGGCTCTGCGCTACTTCCCTGAGCTGTCCAGCTGACGTGGTGAAAACGAGGATGATGATGAATGAGGCCGATGGGAAGAGTGTTTACAGAAGCTCGTACCATTGTCTGGTGAAAACCATTAGAATTGAAGGGTTGAAGGCTTTGTGGAAAGGCTTCTTTCCTACGTGGGCTAGACTTGGCCCCTGGCAATTTCTGTTCTGGGTTTCCTATGAGAAGTTCCGACGAGCTGCGGGCATGTCTTCCTTCTGATTGTTTGACACGGTCGAATTAGTGGCGATGCAGGCCATCAGACGATATTATGTCATGCTTAAAGGGCTATCAACATAGTAACCAGTTATGTGGTTATCGGCATAGTTACCAAGTTGGGCGAAACGGGATGTGAAAAAGGTGAGGATGTTTTGTTTTGCTTTGTTTTGTTTAGCTGGTTTCAAAACTTACCAGTATCAATACCGGCGGCTATGCCGCAGGAGATTTAGCCTCGTTGTCCAAAGCAAATTACCCCCTTTGTGTGTTGTTGAATAAAAGAGTATTAACAGCCTGAATGTGGATGATGATGTTGATCTGTGACTCATGAGTCATGGGAGCGTGAGAGTGTGATCGTGTTTGTGAGTCTTTTGCTCTTGTTGTGCTCTCCTAGGCCACTGCTGCATATAAGTGCAGGCCTTTGGCAGCTTCATGAGTTAGTAGCAGGTATTCACAGGTTATTATTGTATCTTAAATCTTTGAGCAGCTCTATGAAGTAAAGACCTGATGAAGCTAGAGAGAGGATTGAACAAAGTCTTCAATTAATCTGGCAAGTTGGCTGATTAACGCAAGACTTCATTTGGAAAGTGGTTGTGGGTAGTAGTATCAGAATAGTGGGACTAATCGAACAGGCTGTGAGCTGGGAACCTGTCATTGCTAATGCAAGATAACACCCGCTGTATTTGTTTTCATGTAAAACCTGTCTTTGTTTGTTGATTAGGGGTGACTGTAAGCTATTCTTGAAGCTTTTAGTATTGGTTTGTCAGCTGCCAATTTTCTACAGTTGTTTCGGATTGTTTCCATGAACAGTTATTATTATTATTATAAAATAAAAGAGAAAGTGCAGAAGTTACTAACTGTCGGGTGATTTGGCAGGGTTTATAGACTTGAGGCTGTTAGGTTTTTCTTTTCCGAGTCATAAATTAGCACATCCATATACATACATTTTGCTGCAGAAGTCTACCATTGAGAACACATGAACCCATAAATGAAAAAAGTAACTTAAAATTTTATTTAGAAAAAGTGATGAGCAGGGTATTGGGAAGGGGAAATGAAAAAAAAAAACTCAGTTTATGTAACACCCTGAATTTTGGGTTTAGGTTCAACCGCAATAAATTTGTAGGTTTTAATTAACGGTCCGACATGGAAACTGCAATCCTAAATTGGTTGTTGTTCCTAAGCTCTAGACGAAAGGAATTGGGCCAGAGTGGTGATGGCTAAACCCATTTAATGCTCGGATTTGGACTAGGGTTATCACAACCCCCATATATAATCACTTCTCGTTCTAGGTTAGGAGGAGGTAGCCGGCATCCCTAAGAGAGGGGTATGCGCAGCTAGGAAACAGAGAGGATGAACGGGGCGACGCCACTGCAAACAAACCAAACATTAGGGGAAGAGATGGTGAGATGATTGCTACTCTCAGGCGCTACGAATTGCTCCGCTGGAAGCTGATGACGTGGCCGAAGAATGGGAAGTGGAAACGAAGCTGCTGCCTCTGGACCATTGATGCGAGAAGGAGAAAGACAGAGCAGTGGGACGAGGAACTGGATGGAGGTAAACAAATCACCACACCCACGATTAATTATATAATTCCATGGGATGGGACAAATCACCCTCACCCACGTTATTAAGTATATAATATTTCATGGGATGGGATGTTTTGTTCTCTTGGCTAATTATGAGATGGGTTTTGAATGGCCTGCACAATTGGCTTGATGAGGACACGACTTGGATAAAGGACGATGGAAAGCATGGGGGATTGAAATTAGCATGCCATTACTGGTTGGTCACTGGAGATGTGGAATAGGGTACTTGAATCTGTACTAGAGAACTCCATGGTTTGCGTTTTAGTTTGGCCGAGACATGGCCATCAAGATTGGTCAAAGGTGCAGACGGAGCCGGTGAATCAGATTATGCATTCCCTAACCAGATAACATGGTATAATAAGGTGCGTGGTTAAAGGGGACTAGAGTAGTTTTCGTTATCAGTCTATGCATTTAAAGTTCATTTATGCATTTCAGTTCTTGCTTTAGTTCAGTCCATCCTTATATGCTTTCATATCGAGTTAACTTGTTTACATTTAGTCTTTACGTTTACGTATGCATAGCATCATGAAGCATATGTAAACTACGTTATGAGTCAAGCAAATGCAAGTTCAATTATAAGCTAATTAAGTTCAAGTTAATAAGCTTGTATATTCCCATTGTGCGGGAGATCACCTAATTAAGCTCAAACTTCTCAAGTCAAGTAAGCAAGTACAAGATTAAGTATGTCTCTCCATGGAGTGAGAGGTTTTTCAAGCAAGTACGTATAAGATATCAAGTTATTAAGTAAGAATAAGAACCCTCCCTTAACTAGTTGCACGCGGTCACCTTACTCCTTGTAGATGAGGAGCACCTTGTAGATGAGGGGTCTGATATGGAAAAGGAAATCCCATCTATTCATTATTGTGTAAATGTATTTATACAGCAGGTAGTTACAATGAGAAGCTAATCCTACGGAGAGTCTCCCTGAAGATATGCAACAGAAACAGAGTAGTGGAGTACAGGGCTAACAGTCAGTTCCTAACTTCAGGGAGATATATGATCTCTATCACGCCCCCGCAAGTGAAGCTTCGGAGAGGCGAAACTTGGAGCAAAACTGGTTGAATGGAAGCCGAGTGAGAACATCAGCAAGTTGATCAGTGGCCGGTAAGTAACGAACATTAAGCTGTCCCTTCGTGACCCGATTGCGGACAAAAAGAAAATCAATCTCCATATGCTTGGAGCGACTGTGGAACACGGGATTATGAGCTAAGTATGTCGCCCCCAGATTGTCACACCAAAGGATAGGAGCAGTAGAAGAGGTTGCCGCAGTTCAGTCAACAACCCTGTAGCACGTGAGATGTGGGTATACTCTGTATTTGGGCAACCATTTGACGAGACCAGAGAGAGAAGAAAGCTATGGAGGACTTAAAGAAGAGAAAGGAGAAGTATGCCAAGGAGAGAGTTGGAGAATTAGAAAATAGAACCGAGAGCTAGAAGGAAAGAAGGGATTAGAAAGAGAGGAGAGGATAGGAAGATTACTCTGCCGCAAAAGGGGCAGAGAGAGAGTTAAACCCAGTTGTTTGAAGTTTTGAGGAGTGAATACAAGGGGTTGACCGGCCAAATTATAGAAAGAAGAAGATTCAGTGGTGGCTGACGAGTCCGACATTTTGGAAGGAAGAAAACAGAGGAAGGCTACTGAAGAATCTGCCTTTTCTTCTTGTATGGAGAATCTGGGAAAAGGGTGACCGAAAGGGGTAATGCCGGCCGCCGTGAAAGGATATCATATAGAACAGAGAGGTGCCAAGACAGAGATACATGGAGATGAAACAGATGCAGCGACAAAGGAAAGGGCTAACACCGGCTGCCTACGAGAAGAGAAGCAAACTTTGAGTAGAGAAAGACTTGGGTAGCAGGCGCAGCAAGTGTTAATGTTGCATTGTGAAGCAGTGGCCGGAAGCGGCGGAGGGGAGGAGAGGAAACTTTGATGGTTGCCGGGAAGAAGGACCGGAAAAAAAAAAAACTTTTGCCGTTAGGCTGGGGAAGCTCTGATACCATGATATGGAAAAGGAAATCCCATCTATTCATTATTGTGTAAATGTATTTATACAGCAGGTAGTTACAATGAGAAGCTAATCCTACGGAGAGTCTCCCTGAAGATATGCAACAGAAACAGAGTAGTGGAGTACAGGGCTAACAGTCAGTTCCTAACTTCAGGGAGATATATGATCTCTATCAGGGTCATGATGTGTATGTCACGATCGGTGCCGGACGCGGTCACTACTATTCCCTGTAGATGGGGAGGGTATGTTATGTTACTCCTTGTAGATGAGGAGGTTATGTTCATGATACGTTGGTGCTGGACGGATGTGCTAGTTAGGTCGAGGGCGGGATCCCATATCAAGTTAAGTAAGAATAAAAGATTATAAGCAAGAATATGTTAATAATAAAATCCTTCTACTAATGTACCCAATAAAATACGATAAGCATTGCATGTGCATGACTATCTGTTTATATATGATAACGAAATTAGGATTAGGACTGACCCCATCGCCCGCATTCAGGAATTGTAGAAGCTCTAGAGTATGGCAGGAGTTCAACAGTTCGTGACAAGGATCAATGGCTGTAGAGGACTCCAGTGCGAAGATTTTAAATCTCGTGTAATTAGTAGGGCTTGAGACTTGATGCGATTTTATCAAGAATTATTATTGTGGAACTTTTGAGAAATTCTCATTTGAATTTAAAGTGTTTATTATTAATGACCAATGGTGGGCCTGAGACAAATTTAAAGTGACCAAATGCGAAATGAAATAGTACTTTAAGTGGCCAAACGTGGAAAGAAATAGTACTTTAAGTGGTCAAAAGCGAAAATTAATTTTACTTGGGTTAAACACAGACAACAGTACACAGAACCCTTGATGGTTCGATTACAGCAGCAGCTACAATTCAATAGACGACTGCTCATTTCATATCCAAAATAGAGCGAATACAAGGGCAATGGCAATGAAGATGGACACTATTTTCACATTAACATTGGACCCTTTCTGATTTTGCCCTTGCTCTCGAATCCGACGATGAAAGTTCAGCACCACATATCGCATATGCTCCTCAAGGACTGGGTCTCTCCATCTGAAGTAATTACAAGCTCCATTTGTCTACACATCATCAATCAAAACAAAAAACAGTGAAAGATGAAGGAGCATAACATTCAAATCGTGAAAGTAAAACAGGAAACAAAGATGAGTGAAATCTTACCCCATATCTGCTGCACCCATAGAATCTCCTCCCTAGATTCACCTCAGTCCAGCTCATCTTCAGATATGTTGGCTCTCCACAATGACAAAAGGGTGCCGCCATTGACAGAGAGGGAAGTGGGAGAATCTGATGTAGAAGGAGGAAGAAAACAGAGAGGTGGAGAGGTACGGTTCACGGGTTGGGAAGTTGGAGTGGATTGTTGCGTATGGGTAGCCTTATAAAGTAGACAGAGGGGTCGATTTTAGGGTTGGGTTCACGGGTTTAGTTGGGGGATCTGACATGGCGGGTAAAAGTGACGTGGCGGGTCGGGTTCCTTTTTTCCGGGTTAAATCACGCTGACTCGGCCACACTGTTTGCCATGTCAGCAAATAACGGACTCCGTTAACGGAGGTTGACGGAGTCTAACGGAGAGTGACCAATCGTGAACCGTTAAGCACTTTCAGTGACCAGGAATAGAATAAAATTATTTCAGTGACCAAACATGAATATTTTAGCACTTTCAGTGACCAAACATGCAATTTACCCTTTTTTTTATAGATAAGGGTGGTATTTACTGGTGTTAAGCTTATCAATTAAACATCAACAATAGACATGATAGACATAATTTCCTTGATCCTGTCAACTACAATAGTAAGGCAAAACCTTCCATCAATTGTTGAGAGAGAGAATTGCTGGAAGAAGCCTGAATGTAGAGGAACTTAAAGAAAATGAGACAGAATCATAAATGTCAAATTGAAATGGTACCGACAAACCAGAGGAAAATTTTTTTAAAGTAAATATTTGAAGCCAAACAGTTGAGTTGCGTGTGGGCGTGAAAAGCATATGCAACTGCGCGAGTGCTAGGAAAGAGGATTCCGCTTACTAATCGACATGTTCAACAATTTTTCTATCGGCTCCACAATCTCGACGACCATTGATGATGAGAAACAATAGCAGGTCCTTAATATTCGTTACTAGTGGAGAAGCTCCATATCCATACTCA